ACTCAATTCACACAGCACTGAGTCAGACATGACTGAAACATTGACATGCAGTTCTATGAGATGGAGATGATGTTTGCAGTGCTTTGAGTTTTGCTCACTTTGAACCTCAGAACAGCTTCATCTTTTCAACCCATCTTAACAAAGTCTTGTGTGTAAAATAATTTGTTGGGGGATGAGGGAGCATTTTGTGTCTAATTTCTGGCAATAATGGAGCAATATGGTACAGTCACTCCTTAACAAAAGTCACCAATCAGCACAGAAACTGCACTACTCTTCGAAGACATTCCTCTGTGGTGTGAAATGTAGGTATATTTACACGGATGTGGCGCGAATGGTGTTGGTTATTCCCGACAGAAAACGTATTCAGTGTAGCTTGTCCAAATTTTGTCTTCATTGGGATCGTTGCTGGTGTAGGCACAGGTGCCTGTGGAGCTGCAGGCCACCATGTGGAATCCCGCTTCTGTCAGCTTGTCAAATGCCTGCTCTAGAAAATTATACTTGAGATAGTACCGGGATGTGTATCTCTCAGGGGGCCTGTCCGGGTCTCTGCTCTCATTCAGCGTGTCCCCAAACACTTCTTTGGCCAGAGAGGTCTTACCGCAAACTGTGATGCGCGCCACTCTCCTGAACTTGGCATCGGTTTGGATGTCTCTGCCAATAGTGTACGAGCCGCGGTATCCTATCGTGATGTAGCCGGACTTTCTAGAGTCCAGAGACGGGGAGCGCATGGCTCCGCTGACAGACATGGTGCGTAAAGTCTCCAAGCCGCCGGAGGAGCCGCACTGCTGCCCGCCGTCTTCTGTGTCGCTCTGGCTGATCTCCTCGCTGATTGAATTCTCTTTACTCACCCGGGGATTGAGGCGTTTTGCGAGGTCCCGAAGCTGGAAAAAGTCAGCCTCTCTCTGCAGCCGACTTTTCTCGGGGAAGTAGTCCGGGAGGACCAAGTTGAGGTCTCGGAGATAGTCGAGGATGTAGCGGAACAAGAACCCATCCCTGTCCAAGAAGAAGCGCCCTTTGCTGTCTCTCGCCAACTCCTTTGGTGACTTCTTGCTGAACATGTTCCACAAGAGTGAGTCTGGGACGGCGATCAGAGTTTTGTGTCTGGTGACATAAACCTGTCCGCCGACATTCAGCTCGATGATCTCGGAAAACTGGGCGCCCGAATCCCCGCAGCTGGACACTCCGCGCTCTGTGTCCGCCAGTGCCATCTTCTCTGAGCTGCTTCACTGATGTGGAATCAGTGGAAACACTGAGACACCACAGCGGCAGCAGCTCGTTTATGAAGCTTGGGCTTACTGCGTGCGTGCGTACCGGGAGGTGACTGCTGAATTAACATTTAACTATTGAATGACTGTGAAGAGTGCCAATGCTGCTCTCCCTCCTCATCCACAGAGAGAGAGAATCTATGTATCCACCAGAAACGTCACCTTCCTCCTGACCTTGTAGCGCACGCAAATACCGATGTGATAAAAATTACAGCATGTGTGGGTGTTTTTTTTTCTCTCCAAATGAATGCAAATCCATTAGGATCACACACAAACCAGAGACTATGAAACTGGTCCAAGTCATTCCCTTAAAAAGATGTTTGGAAAATATGGAAATAGTGACACCCATTGCATTTGCAAAGGAAATGCAGCCAGCATTCAGCGCATGCTCACATATTAATTACAGTTAGGGCCATAACATTTTGTTAGTGAGTTTTGTCACTGTATCTCATCACAGTGGATTTTAAATCTAACAATTAAGATGTGATTGAAGTGTACACTTTCAGCTTTAATTGAAGAGGTTTCGCAAAAGTGTTACATTAAGTGTTTAGAAATTATGGCCATTTTTATACACAGTTATTTGTTTTCAGAGGCTAGCATAATTTTACATGTAAGGAACTTTGTTAACACTTGGATGAACATTTTTTGCAGTCGATCCCTACATGAAATCTACAAGCCTATCTCCACAAGAGTGTTCTTGACTTGGCCAAATGTTTTGAAGGTGTTTTTGTTAACCAGGGAAAGAATTCTGTGGTCATCCACATCCTTTGTCTTCTGTTGTGTTCCACGCTGTTTCACGTTTCTGAGCTCACTAGAGCCTTCCTTTTTTATTGTCTTATTTTGTTGTGTTATTGGTTGATTTTTCAGCCTAACAATGGCCTCCTTCAGTTGTATTTACCTCACACCAAGCATTCCAAGATACCCAAAAAAGGTCAGCACTTGAAATCAGCACCACGTCTTAGTTTGTTGTGGACGAATAAGAAAAATGTTTAAATGTTTAATGTTTAAATGTCCAGTCACTTTTGAACCTTTGGAAATGGGGAACCAAGTATAAAAATGGCTGTAATTCCTAAACAGTTAATACAGTCCTTTTATTTCACCACTTTAATTTAAGCTGAAAGTCTGCACTGTAATCACATGCTGATTTAAAATCCACTGTGGTGGTGTACAGAAGCAAAATTACACAAACTGTATCGCTTTTTTTAAATTTTAAGGTCTAACCATCCTAACCTAATTCTAAATGCTAATTAGTAACTTACACACACACACACACACACACAGAGAGAGAGAGAGAGAGAGAGAGCTCTCTAACAGCCATTTAAAGAAGGAAAGAATTACTGTAATTAGTCGTTTCAAACAACAGTTCTTAATCAGTGTTTTCAGCACTGCATCATATTCCTTCAATGCAGGTCTACTACTATCCCACTTCATACTTTATTCTTTCACAAAGTGGTTCTAAAGTGGTGCTATGACCCGAGCAGCCCAAGCCGAAGGGGGAAGAACGTAACATGAATGATCCAGGTGGGGAGGGTTGAGTCACAGATAAAAGGTTCTGATGGGTATAATTTATTAATTGAGTAAAACCTTTTTAAAAGAATAAATTCAAACCTGTGATACCTAAGTATACTTTCTAAACAAAATGAGAAAATGAGAAAAACCAAACAGAAGGAGTGATAACTGTAATTCTAGTGTAATCTAGGCAGAGAACCAGCTTATTGTTGTGCAGGAGCATGTTATACTAAACCTGAGCCAGTCTCGGGGGCCAGACATAAAACAACACAAGGCACATTCAATTTCAACATCTTAGGAGAATCAGACATGGCAGGCTGTTTACACAGTCCCAAGAATTACATGAAGGCAGAGCAGTCAGTGAACACAAATCCAGACATCAATCATGGGCAAACACTATAAAAAAACATTTAAGCTACAATAGAGGAAGTAGTGTCTAAAATTCTTGCCATATACATGAGAAATCAGTCACATTGCACTATGTGACATGCAAGATAGATGCATAAAACATTAATATAACCCCTAACTTATTACAAATCTTAAACTTAAACTATAGTAATGAAATGACTGACTTTCTGTCTACAAACTAAAGTTCTCATTAAGTCACTTACAAGCAAAAATATGCCAGAAACACATTTAATAATCATCCAGTGCAATATTTGCTTTGCTTCTTTTATGATATTGCTGGTGGTGATTTTCTTGGGTGTGTGTTGTGGGATATTTTGGCCATGGGTGACATTTAGGAAGTTTCAAAGTTGCACCATTTTGTGAAAGCACGGAGCATTAGAGTCACAGTCACGTGGACCTCCTGTCTCAGGGAGAGTGATCCACCAAAGCCTTGTTCTTATAGATTTTTATGTTATTGCAGTTTTTAAGAGCACAGTATCTTTTTTTTTTTTTAATTTAGTTAGGTAGAAAGTTTTATTCAGCTTTATCTTGGACATAATTACACAAATCTGAGCAAAATGTTACATAGTGTATCAGCTTAATCTGTATAATACAAAAAGAGCAGCTGGAAAGGAAGCACATTATGGAATTACATAATTAAGCCCTTCCATGTAAACTAATCTTTTTGAAAAGAGAGAAACACAACCAAGTTTTCCTCATTTTTACATGAAATGGATGAATTTGTTTCACTTTCATTTCTTCAAAGACTTTGGTTTACCATCAGAGTTTACCCGGAAAACAAATAACAATCAGTGATAACCATTAATAAGCCCACGTTTATATGCAAACTGGACCAGATGGAGATTTGGGGTTTGCAGTTGTGAGCGACTGGTAACAATAAAACTTAAGCCACAGCTTTTGGTTCAATAATCAGCGGCTGAAAATGAAAAACTCTTTATCACGTGATTTTCACCTATTTCATTTCTGCATTTATAAACTTCCCCTTGCACATCAATGAATTTCCATTACTGGGCACCATTATGAAAGTTGAATTAGTGTATGTGTGTGGATGTGCACAACTACATATTCACATACAGTATATATCTGCATATACACACACACACATGCATCTATAAATATATAACCCACAATTGTTGGGTTTTTCCCTGTATGTATTATTGTAGGGTCTACCTTACATTATAAAGCGCCTTGAGGTGGCTGTTGTTGTGATTTGGCGCTGTATAAATAAAATTGAATTGAATTGTAAGATTGGACACAAGAATAAGCATATTGCATGTTTGGACTGAACATGAGTTTATGTATATGTAATGCATATATCTGAGGGCTGATAAGATGAGTCTGAGCAGTAGATCAGTGCACTTGCACAAGTTATTTACATTGTGAGTTATAAAGTGTACATAAGGGTGTGTGTCCAGAGGAGCAGGAGATTGAATTGGACAGAAGAAAATTGCATATGTAGGATGAATATAGTTACTGTGGGATCGAGTTTAGCAGTCTTACAGTTTTAGGGGCAACATTTTATTTTAAGTCGTGTGATTGAATCATGTGTGCCTACTAAAACACAGAAAACTAAAACACAGAAAATGTTGTCAATTTCAAAATCAGCTGTCACAAGATTTTGTTGTGTGCAGATTGTGCAGACTCCCCAGTGCACTGGCAACCAGCATAAATGAAAAGACAGCATTGAGTCATTGCGAAAGTTCCCACTTCTCATCCTAGTGGGTTTTTAGCCACTTTGGAAATTTGGCAGTCCAGCCCTCAGACAGAGTAATTATAAAAGCCAGCTATGCTTGGATGTTTAGTCACTTGAAGAGCTTGTGAAGACTGAACAATGCTTCGCAAGGTACTGTTGGTTGCTGTATGAGCTTTAATAAAGGCACCTTTTGGAAAGTATTTTTGGCTTTTGGTGACCTGCAGTATAGCTTAGCATCTTAACTTGATTATAGCCACAATAAGCTGCACCTTCTCTGGAGGTCTGCATGATTTGAACTGACTAGCCCCGTGGAATGTTTTTCAGGGTATCACAGAGAGCTTTGGAGCTGGGATCCATGCCCTCAACACCTCACAGCTGACAGATGGTGTGATTAACAGGAGCAAAAGGATGATGCTGGACACCCTCGGTGTCGGACTATTAGGAACCAGAACAGCTGTCTTCAATAAGGCTCTGAAGTACAGTCAGGTACAGTGAACTGCATTTACCCTATAACTGCAAAAACAACTGCTGACAAATATTTGCTTATGATGTGGGTAGATGTAGAAGATGCTCATTTAATTCTACACAGTAACTAGTAATACATGAGTACTTTGTATCTATTGTCAGTGATCACATAAAAATCTTTATATGGGCTCATCAGAGGTTGTTTGTGCAGCTGAAATTAAAATACTCTTCTGCTCATCGGTGGATTTCCTTTACATACGATCGGTCCTGCTAACTAACTCGCTTCATTTGTGCCCTGATTGCAATCTTGACAAATTATTAAGTTGTTTTCCATAACATGTTGATGACTGATTATCCAGTCAAGTCTTGCACTTCTTTAATAGTCCGGTTTGTGATTAGAATCTTCTTTCTGCTGCTATTTTTGATATGTCATTTATACTCATATTAATGTGCCTCCAGTTGTTCACATCGCGGGAAAGGAGCAGCGTTTGGGGTCAATCAGATATAATTCTGCCTCCTCATTACGCTGCATTTGTTAATGGCATCGCTGTAAGTTTGGATTTCTACAAAAGCAAAAATCTGCAGAAAACAGGAATTATGATCCAGCACTGCTTCGATCCCTGATCACGTCTTTGCCTGACTGTCTATTAGGTTCACTCCATGGACTTTGACGACACTTGGCACCCTGCGACTCATCCCTCGGGCGCCGTCCTACCTGCGCTGCTGGCCCTGGCAGAGACACTTCCCAGCCAGCCCTCTGGTCTGGATCTCCTGCTAGCCTTCAATGTTGGCATTGAAGTTCAAGGCAGACTGATGAGGTTCTCCAAAGAAGCCTACAACATCCCTGAAAGGTATCAAGTTTGGAAATATTTTCAGCTCTGGAATAAATTTATTCTCCAGCTCATTTAGATTAGAAAGACTAGAGCATTTGATTCACCAGTACCTAGTGCTGTCAAGCCAAGAAAACAGTTTTGGTTTCATTTTGGGTTTCAGAGGTGGATGTGGTGACTGGATTCTGGTTTGTGCTCACATGAAAATACCTTATAAGGAGAAATCACAAAAACCTTTAAAAATGACTAAACTGATGATTAAAATACATATGAACTGTTTGATTAATGAAGCAGTGATTCCAGTTAATCAGAATCACTATGTCACGCTTGAGTAAATCTTGTTGTTTTGCTTCTCAGATTCCACCCTCCCAGTGTTGTTGGAGTGATGGGCAGCGCTGCAGCCTCGGCTAAGCTCCTCGGTCTGTCCCCTGAACAGTGCATTCATGCTCTTGCCATAGCAGCCTCCTCTGCTGGGGCGCCTTTAGCCAACGCTGCCACACAGACCAAACCTCTCCACATTGGAAACGCTGCTCGGGGAGGCCTAGAGGCCGCTCGGCTGGCCCAGATAGGACTGAAGGGAAATCCAGCCATACTGGATTTGGACAGAGGGCTTGGTGTTTACTACAAAGACTACAGTCCCTCCGCTATGGCGGATTCTGCTGTGAGAGCATATAAATGGATTCTGGAAGATCAGGACGTGGCATTCAAACGCATCCCCGCTCACCTCGGGATGCACTGGGTTGTCGATGCAGCTCTAGCAGCCCGGGAAAAGCTCCAAAACGCAGTCGGCAAATTTGACCTCAGCCAGATCCGGCATGTCACACTTCGGGTGCCTCCATCCAAGTACGTTAACTGCCCGTTACCTGCCACAGAACACCAAGCCAGGCACTCGTTCCAGTTCAACGCCTGCACCGCACTGCTGGATAACAAGGTGACCGTGGCGTCTTTCGGCGACGCTCAAATCGGCCGATCCGCTCTGAAGGAGCTCCTGGGCAAAGTCAGCTTGGAGACGCCGGAAGATAACCTGCCCAGTTTTGACAAGATGTACTGCGAGGTCGAGATAGCGACGCACCAGGGGCCGAGCTACACAGCCAGATGTGACACTTTCTACGGCCACTGGCGGAAGCCGCTGACTCTGAAGCACCTGGTGGATAAGTTCAGAGTGAATGCTTCGTCTGTGCTGTGCACAGTGGGAGTGGAGGGGGTCATTGATGTTATAGGAAACATTGAAAGGGTGGCAGATTGCTCAATATTGGGTTCATATCTGAGAATGACAAGTAATCAAGAGCACCTGGACAGAATGAGGATTTTGTAATTACACACATATCTTTATATGAAGCTTTGTATTCTTTTCAAGAAAGTACGAATTAAATAATAACCGTGTAAATATGTTGTACATACTTTTTTCTCTTCTGTGGTCAGAAATAAACTGAACCTTTTTTCTTGTATTCGTTTATTTATTTATTTGTTTCTGAGAACATTATCCTCACCTGCAGCTGATTCTCTAAAATGTGACAGATGTGGGGCGGAGCCACGACAGCAGCAGTAAAACTGACACGCAAACTCAAAAATTCAGCTCACAAGGAGCTCAGTTCTGCTACTCTAGTTTATCTTTTAGTGCTTTTAATCACTTCAACACCATTCTGCAACCAGCTCAGCAGACATCTACCGCACAGCTTGCAAAAGTCTTTTCCTTGTTTCGACCTTCTACTGATTACACTCAGGCGAGTTTCAGGACGCCCTGGACCATCGATCCGATTCCATCAAATATCTCGTGGATCGGAGCGTTGCACATGAAGGCACAGGTGGTGACCAGCTTGTTCTTTTCGTCCACGTGGCTCTCGCCGACGCCCTTGCTCACGTGCTTGCAGCCCAGCTGGTTGATGGCCGCTGCAGTGTCAGCGGTGTCTGGATACCTGAGAGGTGGGGGAGAAGAGGCACTACTTAATGTTTTGCTGCTCAAAGCAGATTTCTGCAAACATCTTAGGAACATTTGAGGTTTTGCTTTTAACAACTGGAAATTTCTATTTATATGTTTTGGAGATGCATCAATTATGCCTGCAAACTGCATTTACAGAGGGACTTTCCACCTTAACATGGAAAGAACCCAACAGTTTTTGCTTCCTATTTACACAAACACACCAGTGATTGTCCTGTCAATCAAATATTTAGCATCCTGCACAGTGCACCAGTGGGTCTCACTCATTAACTACCTAATATCTAATCTGCCAATCACATTACAGCAACATTTAGGCATGTAGACACGGTCAAAGACTGTGTGTTGAAGAGCTAAATCACTCAAAACAGCCAATATTTTATAAGAAAGACCTTTGTTTACCCAGCACAAAGGGGAAAAATAACTAGCATCCAAATCAGATATCTACTGAAACATGCATTGGTTACTGGTATCAGCCACATTTATGTAAAAGCACACTTGCAAGAAGACATCGGCCAGATTAAATGTTTACATGGTACATTTTTTCTTCTATTCTGTTAATTTTTTAAAATAATTTTATAATATTATTTTGCCTGTAAACAAAATCATGATCTCAACTGATTGTTGGCTTTGACATCTGTCAACCAATCAATTGGTCCAAGTGTCAGTCAGCCACCACTCTGACAAAGACGGATCCTCTCCTAAGTCCTTTTTTAAAAATCTAACACTGTAATCAAATTAATTTGTCATGGAAACAGGAAGAAATTGTGCAACAGGACAGGCAGACTGGCTGTAAACAAGCCCACGCCCAGCACGTGGTAGTCTCTGGAAACAACTGTTTGCACTAGGGCTGGGCCATATTATACCGTTCAGGGTAATACCGGTATAATGTTAGGCAACGATAGGAAAATGAAATATCGCGATAGAATGGGAGTAAAACGCGCATGCGCAGTGCCTTTGTTTTCATACGCACATGGCCGATTGTTGAGTGAAACAGATGAACCAGAATTGGTTTGTAAAAATGGTGCAACTTCCGTGATGTGGAACTGGTTTGGTGTTTGTCCGTCAGATACACAACAAAGCACATTTTTTTGCAGAACATGCAAGCGGCCGTTGTTATTGTCATATTTGTCAGACTAAGATGCTCTTAAATCTGGGAGTAATCTGGGTCCTAAACTCAGTATGCTTCAGGTCAAACAACACTGCAGCATCACTAAGAGTTAAAAACTGTCTAAATTCTTTCATCTTTAATAAAACGATCAGCATTGCTGCTTTACCAGGTGTAACTATAAAGTTTAACTTCCAGGCATCCATGAAAACAAAAGTTATTACATTTAACGGAGTTAGAAGTTAGCAGGAAGCTAGCGGAAGTTAGCTCGCTAGTTTCGCTAGTTACCTAAGCATGATATTGCATGTTCTGACTGAGAGATTTCTGAAAAAATTCAAACGTACAGCTCTGCTATCACTTCCAACATAAATGAAGACAGGAAACTAAACAGCAGTGACGTTTGTAGGGTTATTGAAGTTGGGCTAGCTGGTATATAATGATGTGCTACGTGATCGCTAGCGACACAGCTATGTTAGCATAACATAAACAGTGAAGCTGGAGGACGAACACTAACACTTTTCCACTTATAAAAGTTAACGTGAAGGTTCTTCATGGTTAGAGACAAATGCAATCGCATGGCAGGATGCTGTAAACGGACCAAACTTCAGTCAGGAGAACAACTGAGATAATCCATCCACAATACGAGGTTAGTCATACTGCAACAACATGGGAATAGAGCAGCTGCCAGAGAATTCAACATTAATGAATCAATGGTACAGAAGTGGAGGAAGCAAGAAGAATGAGTTTAATAAAGTTTGATTTATCTGACTGCTTTGTTTCGCTTAATGTGCCTTATAATCCCGTGCACCTTATGGTCCGAAAAATACATACTGCACACTGCAGTTTAATGTTGCAAAGCACCTCTTTTTAACTTCAGTGGATATTATACATGGTTATGCTCAGGATATGTCAGCCCATTTCTACTGGAAATGCCTTTTGGTTAAACTTTCAGCAAGGAATTTGCATTTGCACTGTTACATTTTTATAAAGCTTTAATGTACATAAAAACCAGCTTCTTGTTTAAGTGAAAATAAATGGAAGGTTGTCTTTTTGCGCTAGTAATGTTGTGGAGTTTGTATTTTGTCTCGCATCAATTATATCGTCGGTTATATCGTTATCGCAAATTTTCAAATATATATCGTGATAAATATTTTTGGCCATATCGCCCTGCTCTAGTTTGCACACAACAATTGCAGCATTTAAAAGTCCAAACTTAGAACGCAAACAAGGAAGTCCATGTTGCATTTCTCACTTGTCGTCCTTTTCGATGCCGACGGTGACCTCGCACCCAGGGATCACTTTGGCAGCCAGCACAGGTGAGATGCAGCAGAGGCCGATGGGTTTGCCTTCGCTGTGGAACGCCTGCAGAGCAGCCTTGACCTCGTCATTTACAGAGCAGTCCTTGCCCTGCACTGCCCACGTACAGAGATTCTTCGCAGCTCCAAAGCCGCCTGTAAAACACCAAAAATGAGGAAGAGGTGTGATTAATGTCTGGATGTACATAAGCCAGAAATACAAACTTCAGTTTCGACCTTACTCAGACCTTCCCAACATCTTTTTTCTGTAGGCTTCGATTGTACCAGCGAAATACATATGAACACAAACCTGGGAAAATAACAGCCTCGTGCTCTTTCACGCTGAGCTTAGACAGATCCTGGATGTTTCCACGGGCCAGCCTTGCGCTCTCCACCAGCACATTCCTCTTTTCCTGAGAAGGCGCACCTTTCAGGTGATCTACCACATGCATCTGGTCAATATTGGGTGCGAACATGTTCACCTGGAGGTGATAAAAGCAGCAGAGACGAGTTCAAAAACAAAAAAAACAAAAAAAAAAGCACACCAGGCAACTAATAATGATTGTTAACATCACAATTCTTGAAGCTAACTCAACAGAACTTCTGTCAGAGCAGCATTTCAAAACCTAAGAATATCTGCATTTCGCAACACTTTCCCTGACTCATAGTGGACCTTTGACTGATGACTACTCTTGTAAGCTTGAGACATGTGTCTGGGTCATTCCATGTTAATTCCTGAAAAATGAAACTTTGTAAGACGAATTTGAGAAAATTTCCAGTCCCAACTGTCATTTCTGTCCTTGAGGAAAAAAGAGAAATCTTTCACGGGATGAAGGCAGCTCTGTTTTTAAACATTTATCTACCATTGTTGTTGTGAGGGGTTAGCTAGGTCCTTAAATATGTAGGGTAAATATGAGGTATGGACTCTAAGGAGTGCAATTTGTAACAAGGTAGCAACTTGTAATGTGCAGTAATAAGACATGTTGCATAATTGAGAAATTCTCTAACACCAATCAAAGTAGTAATAACAATAATATAGTGATATTAATAGTTGTAACCACTTAGTATTACTAAACAGAAGTCCTAACACACGAGGGAAGAAAGTGTTTCAATGCATGTCTTATAGAGGGTTACCTGAAGTATGTGTGCTTTTCTGTTACTGGTGGCTCTTTGAAGAGCACCAAACCTTTTAATAGGCAGGACAAAAATTTCTGTTATGAGATATGCCTGACCAGTTGCTTTGGTGACTGATTAGTCCAGCTGGAGGGTTACGATTGGTTATATTACTAACAGAAATTAAGAAACGCCTCAAGCCTCAAAACTAAAAAAAAGTCTCATTAAAACATAAATAAAATTAAAATCCCATCATGGTCAGCTTGCACCTCTACATGCAGAGCGCTAAATAGACACCAGGTGGATGCTTCCACTCAGAGGCTCTAAGTTAATGTGATACGTTTTTGAATTAATTTCCTCAGAGTGCTCCAGCCAAAACTGCAACACTTATAAACAGATTTAACTGCACACATAGGTAGAGTTGAAAGGCTTGGAAAAGTCACTTGGCCATTTAGAGGTTTGCACTGCTGGTAAGAAAAAGGACACACTATCACGCTCTCTGGGCCCGTTTTCTGGACTTTTACAAACCATTCCTTTAAGGCCGGTACAGAGAGCTGCTGAAAGTACACGGGCCTTCACATTTCACTGAAGCTACCCATCAGCAGCTCAGACAGGACCATATACTGATCAAACTGGTTGCCTCAGGGACCCTTTCAAACGTCCAAATAATGAAAGAGTTGCCTTATAAGAAACAACCAATTAAACTCAGATGTGGCATCCTTCCTGCTTAACCAGTGAAGGCTGTTATCGGCTATAAAACATATATCAGTACTGGTGCATTTGTCAAATATGAAAACTTAATTTCTCTGGGAATAATGGAGAAAATGATGGTGTCAGCAGCAAAAATCTTGTTATGTCAGGACACAGTTTGTTCAGCAGAGT